GTTCGTCCTGTTTTCTTCAAAGAATTTGGTGAAGAAACATCGCAACCTTTTACTATTTGCTTTTACTTGCCATGTTTGTTTTTGACTATATGTGATCCAACTTTTAATGAGACCTAATGCTTATCTTTTCTTGTTCTTCGGAATTCTTGATTTGGTTTGGTTTAGGTCCTTTTCACACATTGTTTATAAAAAAAAACTTTGTGTTTCTTGATTTCTAGTTGAGGGAAAAACATGAATTCGACATCGACACATTTCGTGCCACCTAGAAGAGTTGGTATATACGAACCTCTACATCAAATTGGTATGTGGGGAGAAACTTTCAAGAGCAACAATATTGGCAATGGGAATATGAACACACCAAGCCACATTATTATACCGAATAATCAGAAAGTAGACAATAACTTGGTATGTTTTCCCTTTCATTGTTCTTCAATCTCTTGATGATATCATTTCTTATTTCTTGAAATCATTTTTCTAGTCAGAGGATACGTCCCATGGAACAGCAGGAACTCCTCACATGTTTGATCAAGAAGCTTCCACGTCTAGAAATCCCGATAAGGTAAATTACTAATTACAATTGGTTTATAATCATAGTTTCCACGGCTTTGTGTCGATAGTGAATCTTTATACCGTTACAGATACAGAGACGGCTTGCGCAAAACCGTGAGGCTGCTAGGAAAAGTCGTTTGCGCAAGAAGGTATGTAAATCTATTTTCCTTCTAAGTAAAATGTTTCTGTTTGTTTATTCAGTTAGGAGATTTGATTATGTCTTTTTTTTGTTTGCAGGCTTATGTTCAGCAGCTGGAAACAAGTAGGTTAAAGCTAATTCAGTTAGAGCAAGAACTCGATCGCGCTAGACAACAGGTTAATGAAATGAAGTACATTTTCACTTTCTTTCGATTTCCGAAACATATTGTAATTTTCTGATAGAAGTTTTGTGTTTGCAGGGATTCTACGTTGGGAATGGAATAGATACTAATTCACTCGGTTTCTCGGAAACTATGAATCCAGGTTTGTATCAAGAACAACAGAGTCTTTTTTCACAAGCATGGTAATTTGAATATCAAGATTTTGAATGGTGAAACTAATTTAATTTACAGGGATTGCTGCGTTTGAGATGGAATATGGACATTGGGTTGAAGAACAAGATAGACAGATATGCGAACTGAGAACGGTTTTGCATGGTCACGTTAGCGATGTCGAGCTTCGTTTGCTAGTCGAAACCGCCATGAAACATTACTTTGAGCTTTTCCGGATGAAATCATCCGCTGCAAAAGCCGATGTTTTCTTCGTCATGTCAGGGATGTGGAAAACTTCAGCAGAACGGTTTTTCTTGTGGATTGGCGGATTTCGGCCGTCGGATCTTCTCAAGGTAAAAAAAAAAAAAAACATGAATCAACGTGTAAATTTTATCGAAGAAAGATAGATTACAATGCTCAAGTTTCTTGCAGGTTCTTTTGCCACATTTTGATATCATGACGGATCAACAGATTTTCGATGTATGCAATCTAAGACAATCATGTGAGCAAGCGGAAGACGCGTTGTCTCAAGGTATGGGGAAGCTGCAACACACGCTCGCGGATTGCGTTGCAGCGGGACATCTCGGTGAAGGAAATTACATTCCACAAGTGAATTCTGCAATGGAAAGATTAGAAGCTTTGGTAAGCTTTGTAAATCAGGTAACAATTCTAATTTTTTTTTTTAACCAAAACACATTTTATGACAATAGTATCAGTTTCTTGAATCAAATACATTTTTAAGACAATATTATCAGTTTCTTGATTGTGTTTGTATTATTATCAGGCTGATCACTTGAGACATGAGACATTGCAACAAATGCATCGGATTTTGACCACGCGACAAGCGGCTAGAGGATTACTGGCTCTTGGTGAGTATTTTCAACGACTTAGAGCCTTAAGCTCGAGCTGGGCGACTCGACATCGTGAACCAACGTAGATTTGAGTTTTTAAAAACAACATAAACAAGAAGAAGAAGAAATATCCACAAGAATCACCAAAGAAGATGAGTGAAGGCATCTAAAAACAGAGGATTTATTCAGAATAAATGGGGTTGCTGCTGATGATTATTTTTTATTCTGCGGCGGAAACGAGAAATTTGAAAAATATGTATCGAAAAGTTGTAAATATCAGATGGGGGGCGGGGTTGCAAAATTTGTACTAGCTTTTAAAAAGAGACCAGTTTTTCCAATGTTTTGTTTGATTTAAAACATTTCAGATTATATAACTTTTGTTCCCAATAGATAATAATAATACATAAATGTGTGTTTTGAG